ATATGTGGACTATAAACCAACATATGGACAGAGAAAACTATATTGTGGTTACCAGGGGCAATGGGGGTGGGGGGTGGGCACAAAGGGTGAAGGGAGTCATATATATGGTGATGGACAAACAAAAATGTACAACCCAAAATTTCACAATGTTAAAAACTATTAAAACATCAATAAAAAAATTTTTTTTTCTTGTGATGAGAACTTTTAAGATCTACTCTCTCAGCAATTTTCAAATATGCAATACAGTATTATTAACTATAGTCGTCATGCTGTACATTGCGTCCCCATGATTACTTATTTTATAACTAGAAGTTTGTACCTTTTGACCCCCTTCACCTATTTCACCCACTGCCCATCCCCTACTTCTGGTAACCACCAATCTGTTCTCTGTATTTACAAGCTTGTTTTTAGTTTGTTTTTGTTATTAAATTCCATATATAAGTGAGAGCATATGATATTTTTCTTTCTCTGTCTGACTTATTTCACTTAGCATAATGCCCTAAAGATCCATTCTTGTCACAAATGGCAAGATTTCCAAATCAGCAATTTTTAATAAATGGTAATACTCAGTTGTCAAATGTATTGGAATATAGGTACATTTATATACAACCTACAATAATATAAATTAATCCAACTCTTCAAAATGTAAATTTATATAATATATATCAAAAGTCTTAAAATATTCATATTTTTTAACTCAGTATATTCTACTTCTAGGAAGCTATCCAGAGGAAATAATCAAATCTAAACATAACTGATTATTATAGGGCAATTTTATAATGGCAAAAAACTGGAAACAATAATATCTCCACCAATAAAAAAATGATTAAATGTTTTATTTGTAAAGTCACCTCTAACGAAATATTATAGCATCATTAAAACCATGTTTTCAAAGAATGGTTAAAATTTGGGGAAAACATCATGAAAGAATATTAAATGAAGACAGAATACAAAACTTTATATAGGTATGTTTCCAATGCTGTTTAAAACAAAAGAAGTATTTTTACTGGCACAGCAAAAAGACTTAAACAAAATACACTAATATATTAGCAGAGTACTGGTAATATAGGTGATTTAATTTTCTTTACAGATTTCCGTATTTTCCAAGCTTAATACATTGAATAAATATATGTATTACCTTTGTAATAAAAAATACTAAACATTTAAATAATTTTAGAACACTTTTGATGAATATTCTAGCAAACTGCAGGATAATATTGAAAATAGGAGGAAATGAAAATGTTACCACACTTAAAAGGACAGTATGTAATGAAAACAGCAAATTTAGTGTATTCAATATGACATATAAAAATGTAGCTTGTAGCAGGAACAATGAATTTTTGTAGGAAAAGGTGACTGAATATCATATACCATAACATGGACTTGCTTAATAGAACCTTTAGATATTAAGTAGTCTCTTCTACTTACCCTCAAAAAAGGTAAAAATAAACAGGAAAATCCCATCATCATGAATACTGTTGAACACAGTTGCTATTTTTCTACCCTGGTGAATGGCCCACAGTAACAAACCTTTGTCTATCTGGTTACAATAAATTATCTACAAGAATATTATTGTTCAGTAAATGTTTTCTCTGCTTCCTGTCCAACGATTTATGCTATCTGAGAAAAGACAAGAATTGTTGCTGATCTCTTGCTTCTTTTGTCCTGCTATCAAGCAGCAATTATCCTTTAATTCATTCATCTTAAACATCTCAATCACCCTTGCCAGGAAAAACAAAAACAAAGGACTCAAACCATTTACTCCCCACTACTAAAATAAAACAATTCAGGGCTAAGTAGAGAAAAAATATAAGGATAGGATTACAGTCTCCTTTTACTTACTCTGTTCGGAACACATCTCTTATACTAATTCAACACAGAGAGACTAGACATCAGCTCTACTTCATGTTTAAATGTGCATGAATTTATCATGCATCAAAATTCTATACAGGAAAACAATTTTGAATTTTGGAGTCACATGGTGATCTAATAGTTCGTTAAAAAGAAAACCTATATTCTGTCAGCTCTGGATCATCTGTGTGAACCCAGGGATATGGTAGCATGGATAATCCCAGACTAATTTATGTTTATCTTTGTTCAACTTTAGATTCACCCAAAGTAGAGAATGGCATAATTTTTATAGCTGGAGGGGACTTCAAGATCATTTAGTCCACCCTTGACAATTTGCAAAAGAAGGAGCCAAAACCCAGAGAGATTAAGTGACTTAAATAAAATTCTAACGCTTTCTCAACTATACCATGCCGGTTCCTTATAATTAAAAAAGCTAGTAATATGTATGTAGGTAAAAAACTATCTTTATATAATTGGATAAAGGGCTTACTAAAGAAAAATCATCACTTATATATATATATATCATTCATCCTCAACTACCCAGATCCTGGCCCCACACCTAATTATAATCAACTGATAGGAAGTACAATGGGAGCTCCCACAATGGGAGATTCCTCTTACCATTACTGCCATGGAGTGAGAATAGGGAAAAGGAGGACTCCATTTAGCTGCTAAGACAATAAGGAAAGGTAGAGGAAATAAGCTCTTTAATTAGAGTATAGATAAAGAAAAAAAAAAAAAACAATCCTTTCTTACCGTCAAATTAATTCAAAACATCTCAACTCTCTAATTGGAGCCCTGGCTGTATTTTCCCATGCTTATAATACCTTTATGTTATGAGTTAAGCAGGATCCTATGAGGCAGGTGGAAACCTAATAACCATATTTAACAAAATTTCTATGGAAAAATATATTTTAAGTCTCAAATAGTTGACATCAAACTTTTAAGATAGAACATATTAATAAATTAAGGATTGCCTGAATATACCTAACAGAATCAAACATATATACTCGCAATTATATGACTATGTAGATAAATAAGTAAAAGGAAGAATGAACTAGCTAATGAGTAAGCGAACAGAAAAATTAGTACAGGGACATATTTAGTTATGCGAAGAACAGAGAGAAAACCAAAGTAGGGAGGAAAGTCATTTTTTTACCCTTCTGGGAATAATCACAAAAAACTCACCACCTTTTCTGTCCTTAAATATTTCCTGCCACACTAACTATACCCAAGAGCTTCGTATGTCTAGAGGCAGGTAAGGAGCACTATAGTGGATAGGAGAAGGTGATTAGCTCAAGGAACCACACAGAATGCTAATTTCACACTAAATCTTGGTTGTCTAAATAGATAAAGCAGTTAACACACCGGGTCAGTAGTGTCAGCAGGACTTCCAAATGCATTCAGGTGCTCAATAATGTCCTTGAGATCTTGGGCCATTCGTTTCAGCTGAGCATCTATATTTCCTGCTAATTTGTAACTGAAAAGGCAGGTAAAATAAAGGATTAACAAGCAATGTTTTATCTACTGTGTATTGTTACTTACATACAAAGATGGTACTGCCAACTGGATTTGCCCCAATTCCCCTACCTTCTCAGTGGGTCTCATTTATGACTAATGGCACATTTTTATGGATGCAGCATTCATGAACTTATTATTACCATATTCAAAAAAGACTCCATAGGTGAAGGCTTTTATCCACCTTGCCATTTTCACAGTCACCTATTTACTCTGGATAATGTTCTGGGGAGCTCTGAAGCAAAAGAACTCGTTTTTGGTGCCAAAATAAACCCACAGGACATTTAGACATAGAAGAAGTTATTGCTGTTTGGCAATAGTCAATAAGTGCTGAGATGTCTTCAATGATTTTGAACACATAAATTTTCAAAGAAAAATCTTATATAAATATACTCCATCATCCAACAAAAGATGTTTTGAGAAATGAGATTGACAATAACTAAAGGCAGACAAATCTACTAAGTTTACAAAAAACTGATTAGTTGGCTAAATTCTCAAGATTTCCACCCAAACTATTTACACACACACACACACACACACACACACACACACACAGATACACACACACACTTAACCTAGTCAAGAATATGTTTATGAGAATTAAAGTGACCAGAGGGTTTTTCAACCTTAATGTCTATAAATATTAAAGGATTCAATTAGATTTATTGATAACTATCTACTGCCTTTCTGTCCCAAAGTACTTATGGATAATTGGTTGCCTAGATTGTTGAAGATTCTGGTAAAGATTCCATCACAATATAATAGTGACAACATAAGAGCAATTGGAAAGGAACTAATGTTTCAATTATTTCTTTAAACTACAGTTAGGATCTCATGGCCAAAAACATAACTCTATATGTTTCAAAAAAATGAGAAAGCAATGCAAAAAAAAAAAAAAAAGAAATTCACAAAGGCTGAAATACAAAAGCAGAAACAGAACTAGGGTCCATACAGATTAGTTATACTTACCACATTTAACTCACTTACAAAAAAGCTAACTCGCAAACCTTTTAAAAATAAGCTCAGTCTTAACTCACTAAATTGATAAAATGAGGCCAACTTAGTCTCAATCTAGTTTATGTAGCACATTCACATTCACAGAAGTTCTCTTAACAAAACTTTATAATTTGGCCTGATTACCAAATCTCAGTTCCAGAGAGACAAAGTTACTGTGGGAACATTGGCAATGTATCAACCAAAGGTAAAGACGGGATCACACACAAATAAAATATATCCAGCCCAAGACATCGACAAAATCATTCAATTTTTGAGAGCTATGCAGTTTGTCCCCAGATTAACAAATTGCCTTTAAAATAGCAAATGATTTATCACTGAAGCAATTGCACGAACATTAGGTTTAAAAGAGTCAATATAAATAGAACATAAATATCCCACAATACTATGACACCACACACATAAAATTTGTATTTCTAATTTAAGAACAAACTTGACAAACACAAAAACTTTCCAGTGGCCGTGTATAAACTTGAGATTAACAACAGTGTACAAAATGCTATAAAACAAAATTGCCAGAATGATTACTTCATTTTCAAGCATCCTGAAAAGATAAACAGAAAAAAGTCAAATAAGTTGATAAATGGCAACTACAAGAACTTGTCCTTTTCTACCAGTTTTTAATCCCTGCCTTTCAATTCCATTTTTTCCCTTTCTAATGGGGCTAAGTCCTGCCCCATTCCTCGATCTTTATTCAGTTACTTACGTCCTCTTACGCTCCTCCTCTTCATATGGCAGAAAAACAGACCCACTATGGTCCTTCACAGACTCCTCTAAAGGGGTCAAGAAATCTTCTAGTTCCTTCTGCTCTGACAGGATAAAATCTAATTCTCGTTCCAGCCTGAACAAAACAAGTCAAGAGAAGGGCCGATGAAAGGAATTTGGAGTGACAAAATAAATGTCAATGAACTACCACAAGGGAAAAAAAACTAGACAGAGATAGATCTTTACTCTTTCAACCCAGGGAATCTAAGATTCTACCTTTGCTGATCCAGTTTTGCTTTTTCCACTTCTCCATGCAAAGTAATAAACTATAAAGAAAAATAATAATATAATAATGTAAATATCTGAATTTATATTGTAATTTTAAAATAATATTAATTTTTTCATGTACACTTCAAATATTAAATATTTCTTAATTCAAGGCACTTATTACCTAAGGAAATTATTTTTAAGTTGATCACCAATATCAGAATAGAAAATTAACCACAAAACAAAAGTCTATTCTCTTGCATTCATCTGAAAATACTTGTAGAATGCAGGTAGATTAATGAGAATATCTTTTTACCTTCTCACTATTCTCAATCAATGTACAGTCCCAATCATTGACCTGGGTGGCCTGGTGAAGAAAGTGATTCTCTTGATCCTCTAACTCAAGGCTCCATTTGTTTATTAGACCATCCAGCTGACCATACGTCATCACAGGAGTCATGATCGCACTAAAAAAAAGGATGCCATATTTTTACAAGTATGATCAGATTTTTAAAATGAATAATATAGGAGGACTCAGAGACGAAAATAGCACATGAGCAGACCTGCTCCCCAACAAAACCACCATAACTGGTAAAGATTATTTTAAAAACAACCAAAGTCTCTGGAAATTATCCTAAAGGAATACAGCAAATAAAGAAAGATTTATTAAGAAATCTACTAAATCTCAGTAAGAACACCTAAAGTCTGTGCCACAACCTGCTCCTTTCCTTCCCTTTCAGCTCAGCATGATGGAAGCTCCATTCTGGGTGCATGTGGCCAAAGAGATAGGTTTCCCTATCCCCACAGCTCTTAGTCAAAGTGATCCATCCCCTGTCTAAGCAGTCTCCATGAAACAGAGTAGGCAAGCTGATCTTCCAAACCCCACTAGGCAGAACCAAGTGGAACTCTGATTCCCCTGCCAGCTGGTATCAATAGATTGAGCAGGTAGCTGATTTTCCATTCCACAACCAGGCACTGCCCTGATTCCTCCACTAGGGCAGTGTCAGCAGGGCTGGGCAGAGAGGTCATCATCAATTCCCTACCCAGCAGAGGTAGGCAGTGGTCTAATTGTCTCACCAGGGTACTGTCAGCAAAGTCCGGTGAAAAGCTGAACCTAAATCCCCACCTAGCAGCAACAAGACTTAATAAGGCAGAATGAGACAGGGTTAGTTACAATTATGCTTCACCCCTTGTCTTCAGTGTCACTGGGACCCAATGGGGAGCTAACCTCTATACCCACGTGGCATCACTGAGACTGAACAAGGTAGAGCAAGTTGGGACTAGTAAGGACTCCACTTTCCACCACCCCTGGTGTCAGCAAGGCTTAGTGGAAAGCTTAACCTCCACACCCACTGGAAAAATCAAGACTGAACAAGGCAGAGCAAAGCAGGGCTAGTTGGCACTCTGTCCCTCTTCTCCCCAGAGCCCATGTCAGTGAGGCTCTGTAGGGAGCTAAGCTTCTATAACAACCCAGCATCAACAAGGCTGAATGAAGTGATACAAGACATAGTTGACATCCTGCTTTCTCCCTCCTCTTGTGTCAGTGGGGCCCAAAAAGAAGCTGAAATTCTGCTTCCACCTTGCAGCAACTAAGCAGTATGAGTTCGCCCCATACTTCCCCTTATTCTGGGGTCCTGAGGGCCCAGCTGGGAGCTGAGCTTACATCCCCACTTAGAGGCAACGAAAAGGTGTGACTCATTGCCCCACTTTCACAGAGAATGAGTCAGCAGGGCTGAGGGAGCTGAGAATATCTTTTTACCTTCTCTATCTTTAACTTCCACACCATTCATCTGCATTGAGGCAGTGAGAGTTAGGGCTTCACTTTTGCTGGAGTGGTACGGGTAGGGTCCAGTGGGAAGCTGAACATACAAATGCAACTAACGCTTGTACTACACTTTCAACAAAAGGATTGACTGATGAAAAAAGATGTAAATAGGACCCAGACTCTCCTAACATCATAGACAATATGTTCAGGATACAACTGAAAATTACTCATCATATCAAGAACCAGGGAAATCACAACTCTAAAAAGAAAAGACAATCCACGGCCATCAAAATTGAGAGGTATCAGATGTTGGAATTATCTGAAAAGTATTTTAAAGCAATCATCAAAAAAATGTTCCAACGAGGGCCAGCCCCATGGCTTAGCGGTTAGGTGCGCCCGCGCTCCACTGCTGGCAGCCCGGGTTCGGATCCTGGGCGCGCACCCACGCACTGCTTCTCCAGCCATGCTGAGGCCGCGTCCCACATACAGCAACTGGAAGGATGTGCAGCTATGACATACAGCTATCTACTGGGGCTTTGGGGGGGGGGGAATAAATAAATAAAATTATAAAAAATAAAAAATGTTCCAACGAGCAATTATGAATTTTCTAAAAACAAATTAAAAATAGAAAATCTCAGCAAAGATATAGAAGCTATGAAAAATAATCAAATGGAAACTATAGAACTGAAAAATAAAATAAATAAAAAGCTCACTTGAAGGGTTTCATACTACAGTGGAGATGACAGAGGATATAATAAGTGAACTTGAGGATAGATCAATAGAATTTACAGAACAGCAAAGAGAAAATATGCACAAAACATGAAAAAAATTTCTCAAGGACCCAGAGGACAGTAATAAAAGAGGTGACATTTGTATCATTGGAGAATAGTATGTTAGGAAAAGAAAGAATGGGATTGAAAAAGTATTCTGAGAAATAAAGGTAAAAACTTTCCAAATTTGGCAAAAGATATAAAACTAAAGATATAATAACCTGAGCAAACCCCAAACAGAATAATTCAAAGAAATCCACACTAAGACACACAATACTTAAATTTCTGAAAACTAAAGAAAAAAATCTTGAAAGCAGCCAAAGAGAAACAACATATTACTTAAAGGGGAACATTAATTCAAATGACAGATTTTTCATCTTAAACCATGGAGGCTAAAAGGAAGTGTCACAACATTTTTCAAGTACTGAAAGAAAAAAAGTTGACCACGACTTCTATATCTGGTGAAAATGTCCTTCAGAAATGAAGGGAAAATAAAGATATTCTCATGCAAAGTAAACTTAAGAGAATTTGTTGCTAGCAACCCTACCCTTGAAGACTGGCTAAAGAGAAAGGAAATGAAAACAGAAGAAGGCTTGGAACTTCATAAAGGAAAGAAGATCAAAATGGATAAAAAGGGTAAATAAAACAGACTATTCTACTTTACATGAGCTTTTTAAATCATATTTGATGGTTGAAGCAAAAAATATAACACCACATAATGTGGTGTTCAATGTACATGAAGGAAATACTTGAGACAATTATACTTAAAAAGTAAGAAGAGTAAAGGGAACTGAATGGAAGTAAGGTTTCTACACTTCACTCAAAACAATAAAACTGCAATATGTTTAGACTGTTATAAGTAATGTATGCATATTGTAATGCCTAGAGCAACTAGCAAGAAAACTATACAAAGCAATATACTCAGAAACACTATAAATAGAACAAGATGGAACCCTAGAAAATGTTTGAATAACCCACAGGAAGGTTAAAAAAAAAGAGAGAAAGAAAAAAATAAAAACAGGAGTAACAAACAAAAACCAAATAATAAAGTGGCAGACTTAAGCACTAACATATCACTAATTACCTTGAATGTAAATGTGCTAAATATACCAAGTGAAAGATAGAGATTGGCAAAGTGGATAAAAACTATGATCCATCAATATGCTGCCTACAAGAAACTCAATTCAAATAGGACACAGATAGGTTGAAAGTAAAACAAAGGAAAAAGACATACATGAAGATTAATTTTTAAAAAGGAAGGGCTATATTAATATCACATAAAGTTGATCTCAGAGCAAATTATCAGAGTCAAAAAGGGCCATCACATAATGATAAAGGAATCAAAGCACCAGGAAGGCCAATAATCCTAAACATATAGGCAACCAAATAGCAGAGCCTCAAAATACATAAAGCAAAACTGACAGAGTTAAAGAGAGAAATAGACAAACCCACAATAACAGTTGGGGACTTCAAAAAGCCATGCTTCACAACTGAAAGAAGCATTAGAAAGAAAAGCTGCAAGGATACAGATCTGAAAATACAATGAAGCAGCAGGATCTAATCACATATAGAAGACTCCACCCAACCACAGAAAACACAACTTTCAGGTGCCCACGGAACATTCACCAAGAAAGGCCATATCATCATCATAAGATTAATCTGAACAAATATAGAAGAATAGAAATCATACAGAACATGTTCTCCAACCATAATGGAATCAAACTAGAACTTGATATAGAAAGAAAATCTCCAAACACTTGGAAACTAAACAACACACTTCTAAATAATCTATAGGTCAAAGAAGAATTCGCAAAAAAAAATTTAAGTACATAGGATTGAACGAAAGTGAAAATACAACAGAACAGAATATGTGGTGCACAGATAACACCACGGTGAGAAGGATATTTATAGCACTAAATGCTTACATAAGAAAAGAGGAAAGGTCTCAAACCAATAACTTAAGTTTATAGCTCAAAAAACTAGAAAAAAGAGAAAAATGCAATGCCACTAGAAGGAAAATAAAAGCAATAGAGAATAGTCAATGAAACAAAAGTTTTGAAGTAAAACTGTCACTATTTAGAGATGACATGATTTTTATATACAGAAAACTCTAAAGAATCCACCAAAACACTATTAGAAATAATAAACAAATACAGTAAAGTTGCAGGGTACAAAATCAACATATCAGTTGCATTTCTATACACTACCAACAAAATAGCAGAAAGAGAAATCAAGAATACAATAACATTGGGGCCGGCCCGGTGGTGCAGCAGTTAAGTGTGCGCACTCCGCTTCATCGGCCTGGGGTTCACAGGTTTGGATCCTGGGCGTGCACCGACGCACCACTTGTCAAGCCATGCTGTGGTGGTGTCCCATATAAAGTAGAGTAAGATGGGCATGGATGTGGGGGCCAGGGCCAGTCTTCTTCAGCAAAAAGAGGAGGACTGGCAACGGATGCTAGCTCAGGGCTAATCTTCCTCACAAGAAAAAAAAAAAAGAATACAATAACAATTATAATTGTAATAAAAAGAATAACCTAGGAATAAATTTAACCAAAAAGGTGAAATACCTGGACACTGAAAACTATGATATTGTTGAAAGAAACTGAAGGAGACACCAAGAAAGGGAAAGATATTCTGTGCTCATGGATTGGAAGAATTAACATAGTTAAAATGTCCATATTACCTAAAACAATCTACAGATTCAATGCAATCTCTATCAAAATCCCAACATTTTTCATGGAAATAGAACAAAGAATGCTAAAATTTATATGGAACAACAAAAGACCCTGAATAGCCAAAGCAATCCTGAGAAAGAAGAAAAAAGCTGGAGGTATCACACTCTGATTTCAAAGTATACTACAAAGCTATAATAATCAAAACAGTGTGATACTGGCAGAAAAACAGACACACAGGTCAATGGAACAGAACTGAGATCTCAGAAATAAATCCACACATTTATGAGTAGCTAATTTCTGATGAAGAAACCAAGAACATACAATGGAGAAAGAAAAGTCTCTTTAATAAATGATGCTGGGAAAACTGGACAGCCACATGCAAAAGAACTATCTTACACCATACACAAAAATTAACTCAAAAATGGATTAAAGAGGGCCTTCCTAGTGGCGTAGTGGTTAAGTTCACATGCTCCACTTTGGCGGCCCAGGGTTCCCAGGTTCGGATCCCGGGCACAGACCTACACATCGTTTATCAAGCCATGCTGTGGCAGGCATCCCACATATAAAGTAGAGGAAGATGGGCACAGATGTTAGCTCAGGGCCAATCTTCCTCAGCAAAAAGAGGAGGATTGGCAACAGATGTTAGCTCGGTGATAATCTTCCTCACCGAAAAAAAAAAAAAAAAAGGATTAAAGACTTGAATGTAAGACCTGAAACCATAAAACTTCTAGAAGAGAACATAGGCAGTATGCTCTTCGACATCAATTTTAGCAATATCTTTTTGAATTTGTCTCCTCAGGCAAATGAAACAAAAGAAAAAAAATAAACAAATGGGACTACATCAAACTAAAAAGCTTCTGCAGAGCAAAGGAAACCATCAACAAAATGAAAATATCTACCAACTGGGATATTTGAAAATCATATTTCCAATAAGGGGTTAATATCTAAAATATATAAAGAACTCATACAACTCAATAACAACAAAAAAAACCCACCCAATTAAAAAATGGGCAGAAGATCTGAACAGACATTTTTCCAAAGAAGATATACAGACAGTCAGCTGGCACATGAAAAGATAGTCAACATCACTAACTATTAGAGAAACGCAAATCAAAATCATAATGAGTTATCAATTCATGCCCATCAGAAAGGCTATTATTAAAAAGACAAGAAATAAGTGTTGGAGAGGATGTGGAGAAAAGGGAACATTTCTACACTGCTGGTGGAAATGTAAATTGGTGCAGCCACTATGGAAAACAGTATGGAGATTCCTCAAAAAATTAAAAATAGAACTACCATATGATCCAGTTATTCCACTTCTAGGTATTTATCCAAAGAACAGAAAAACAATAATTTGAAAAGATATATGCACCTCTATGTTCACTGTAGCATTATTCACAATAGCCAAGACTTGGAGACAGCCTAAGTGCCCACTGACAGATGAATGGATAAAGAAGATGTGGTCTATACATACAACGGAATACTCCTCAACCATAAAAAAGATGAAATCTTACCATTTGCGTCAACATGGATGGATTTTGAGGGTATTATGCTAAGGGAAATAAGTCAGATGGAGAAAGACAAATACCACATGATTTCACTCATATCTGGAAGATAAAAATATAACAACAAAAAACAAATGCATAGATACAGAGAATAGATTGGTGGTTACCAGAGGGGAGGGAAAAGAGATGAAGGGGGACATTTGTACAGAGATGGATGGAAACTAGACTTTTGGTGGTGAACACAATGTAGTCTATACGAAAGTCAAAATATAATGATGTACACCTGAAATTTATATAATGTTATAAACCAATGTTACCTCAATAAAAAAATGGAAAACGTTATGTATGCTCTTTAAAAAAAAAACTACTTCCTTGAGAAAACATCAATAAAATTGATAAAAGAAAGGCAGAAATCACTAATGCCAGAAATGAAACAAGAGCATATCCCTACAGCTATTAAAAGGACAAAAAGGGAATATTTTGAACAACTTTATGCTCAGAAATTTGACCACTTAGAAGAAACAGACCAATTCCTTGAAAATCACACACTACTAAAACTCATTAAAGATAAACTGAATAGTCCTAAAACCATTAAAGAAATTGATATGTAATTTATTATTATTATTATTTTTTTTTTTTTTGCTGAGGAAGATTAGCCCTGAGCTAACATCTATTGCAAATCTACCTCCTTTTTTGCTTGAGGAAGGTTAGCCCTGGGCTAACATCTGTGCCAATCTTCCTTTATTTTGTATGTGGGTCGCCGCCACAGCATGTGTGACGAGTGGTGTAGGTCCGTGCCCGGCATCCAGGCCCACGAACCCAGGCCACCAAAGCAGCACGCATCGAATTTGATGACTATGCCACAGAGCCAGCTCCCTTGATTTGTAACTTAAAACCTCCCAAAAAAGAAATATCCAAGCCCAGAGATTTCACTGGAGAATTCTGCCAAACATTTAACGAATTAACACAAATTTGACACAATTTCTTCTGTACAACAGAAGAGAAGGGAATACTTCCCAGATCATTTTATGAGGCTATATTACCTGCATATCAAAACCAAAGACAGAATAAACAAACAAAGAAAAAAAACTACAGGCCAATATCTCTCATGAACTTAGGTACAAAAGTCCTCAAACAAAATATTAGCAAACAAATTCCAAAAATGTATAAAAAAATTATATACTATGACCAAGTGGGATTTATTCCACATATGCAAGGCTGTTTCAACATTTGAAAATCAATCAGTGTAATTCACTATATCATCAAACTAAAGAAGAAAAATCTTAAAAGATTGTATCAATTGAGGCAGAAAAAGCATTCGACACAAATATATCCAATTGATTTTGACAAAGGTGAAAAGCAATGAGGAAGACAGCCTTTCAATGAATGATGCTAGAAAAATCGGACACCCATAGACCAAAAAAACGAACTTCAATCTAAATCTCATACCTTATACAAAAATTAACTCAAAATAGATCAAGAGCTTACATGTAAAATGTAAAACTATAGAACTTTTAGAAAAAAAATAGGAGAAAATCTTTGGGATCTAGGGTTAGGCAAAGAGCCCTTAAACTTGACAGTAAAAATATGATTCTTGAAAGGAAAAATTGATAAATTAGACCTCATCAATTATAATTTTTTGTTTGGAAAAATACCCTGCTAAAAAGATGAAAAGACAAATTATAGACATAAAGAAAATATTTATAAACCGCATATCTGACAAAGGACTGGCGTCTAGAATATAGAAAATTCTCAAAACTTAACAGTAAAAAAAGAAATACAAGTAGAAAATGGACAAAAGACATGAACAGACACTTCACCAAAGAGGATACGCTGATGGCAGATGATAAACACATGAAAAGGTATTCAACATCATTAATCATCAGGGAAATACAAATTAAAACCACAATGAGATATCACTTCACATCTATTAGAAGGGCTAAAATAAAAAATAGTGACAACACCAAATCCTGGTGAGAATGTGGACAAGCTAGATCCCTCATACATTGCTGTTGGGCGTGTAGAATGACATAGTCACTCTGGAAAAGAACTTGGCGGTATCTTAGAAAAATAAACATGCAATGACCATACCCCCCAGCAACTGTACTTTTGGGCATTTATCCCAGAGAAATGAGACTTATGTTCACAAAATACCTGTACATAAATGTTCAGAGCAGCTTTATTCATAATAGTCAGAAACTGGAAATAACGTACATGTCAAGTCCATCAACAAATGAATAGTTAAACAAACTATGGTACATCCACAACACCATGGAATACTACTCAGAAATAAAAGAAAAAACAAACTAATGATGCACATGACTTTATCTCAAGGAATTATGCCTACTAAAAAAAAAAAACAATCCCCAGAGATTGCATACTATATGATTCCATTTGTATATCTGTATATCATTTCTTTAAATGTCAAGATTATGGAAATGGAGAACAGATTAATTGTTGCCCAGGGTCAAAGAAAGGAGGGGAGAGTAGTGGGTGTGGCTATAAAAGGGCAACAGGAGGGATCCTTGTGGTGATGGAACTGTTCTATATCTTGATTGTATCAATGTCTATATCCCGGATGTGATATTGTACTATAGTATTGCAAGACGTTATTATTGGGAGAAACTAGGTAAAGGACACACAGAATTTTTCATATTATTTCTTAGAAGTACATGTGAATCTACAATTATCTCAAAATATAAAGTTTAATTTAAGAAAATGAACAATTAGAGAGGAACGTGGAATACATTGTAAGAATACAGGCTCTAGAGCTCGACTGCCTGAATTTTAATCCTGGCTCAGCCATTCCCAAGTGTGTGACCAGGGGCAGATTATAAAATTTCTATGTGCTCCAGTTTTCTCATCTATAAAACAGGAACAACAAGAGTACTTACCTCATAGGGTTATTATGAGGATTAAACGATATGATGTTTGTAAAGCATTTCACATTGCTAAACATATAGTAATTACGCAATAAATGTTAGCTATTATTAGTAATAGTAATAACTGTATTATAATGATAATAAGACAAAGGCGTGCTGTTAATTATTCAACTTCCTAAGCTACAGAAATCCTTTCTCTAACTGCTCCTTCAACTCTGAGTCATTTACCTAACTTTCAAACACTGTTCTAAAGCTACACAAGCAAATTATGTCCCGTACATGATAAATAAAATGAAACTCACATAAATTTTCAAATAAATAGGCTTACTTAACAATCGAAGTAAAAGGTATGGAAGTAATACCGACTGGGACAGTGTAACTAATTCCAGTTGATGGCAGTGGTTCTAAGTTGAAGGTAATGCCACTGGTGGTTGTGGTAGTGGTGGTGGTGGTGACAGTGGTGGCGGTGGTCGTTGACGCTGTAGCTGGAAAATAAAATGCATAATGTTAGCAAGAAATGAGAAACTTACTTTATTTTAGTCCTTGAGCATTCAGGATAAAAACTATAGAAGCATTCTTTAAAATGTGAATTTGAATGCAAGTTGTGTGGATTTGAACTCAACATTGTTGTAATATGAAGTGATATATGGCAGGCCAGGTATCTGAATTAACCTTCCTGCTAAGAACTAAAAATCCTGGATAAATTTGTAAAAAAAATAAAATTTACAACCTAACCAGACCTACAACCATTTGAATCAATCCTCAAAACTCTTCCCATCAAGAAAACTCTAGACCCAGACGACCTCACTAGTAAGTTCTACTAAACTTTCAAGGAAAGAATAATTGTAATCTTACACAAACTCTCTGTACATCTATATCTTTGCATACTTACATGGAATATATCTGCATAATTAATTCCTAGAAATGAAATTGCTGGAAAGGGTCAGCATGCTCTAAATTTTAATATATCTTGCCAAATTGCCCTACCAAAAAGATTTTCCCAATTTACATTCCTATCAATAGGGGAGGAGCACCTGTTTCTCTACATTATAGCCCATACTAGGCATATATGTTTGCCAGCCTACTAGGTAAAAGACTCTCAAAGCTTTATCTATAGCCCAGATCTCTCTCCTATGTGTCTTTTTCTATTGCACCCGTACTAGAATGCCCTGCTCTCTGTAGACAAAATTTTCAGTATAGTTCATGGCCTAGCTCACATTCTTCCTTCCTCATGTTTATCACCCACATCTCTTCTACTCATCATTATCTGTTGGTTTTCTGAACTTCTATAGCACTTTTAGTTTTTCCTACACACTGAGCACTTAAAGAACAATGCACAGAAAATTGTGGCTGTTGGGGACTGGAAACGTTTTCTTTTTTTCTTTTTGGTTCTCTGTATTTTCAAATGTTTTTGTAATTAGTAAATGCTGCTTCTGTAACAAGAAATTTGTTATAAAAATATAACATGGACACAATTGTTTGTTTTACATTATCCTTGCTTTCCCAATTAGCAATATTTTCAGGTTAATGGCCACACTAGATAAATACATAAATCATGGTACCTGCCAATATACACAGCCTATTCTAAGGGAAACTGGACCACTCAGTTACTGCTGCAGGATCCTGCTGCAGGCCACACTAGATAAATACATAAATCATGGTACCTGCCAATATACACAGCCTATTCTAAGGGAAACTGGACCACTCAGTTCCTGCTGCAGAATAAAGAATGGATCAGATACCCATTCTTTATTCCAGTAATTCTGTTCTTTGCTCCTGGTTCACAGCTGACTGGGACAAGAGTGGGCATCTGAAATACAGGAAGCCATCCCTGGCTTCCTGGCAGCCTATGGGAGGGTCTGGCGCAAAAAGCTCTAGCCAAATGGGGATAAGATGGGCCAGAATCTCATTTTTATAAATTTGGAACTGTGGAAAGAATCAGCCTGTAGGTAGAAATATGGAAAGAATCAGACTCTAAGCAGAAATTTGGAAATATTTCCAAAAGTTTAGAAAGAATCAGACTATAGGCAGAGGAAGTTGAAAGGACTGACAGAGGAAGAACATGAATTAGAATTAAGGAAGCATGAGCAAGTCAAATTAAGAATAAGCTAAAACAGTAAGGCAGAAAAAGAGGAAAGGAAACCAATGAGAAGCCAAAAAAAAAAAGCAGACAAAGGGAGAATAGCTGAATTATGTTTATACAATATTAGATTCAGGAGGTCCCTAAAGCTGCCTTTTGAACAACTCAACTTTCAATTTCATTGAAGTTCAGTGCCACCACAATACTTGTATTAGATTTCCACAAGATTCCATTTCCCTTTTGGCCACAAGGATCCTTACAATAATTCCTGCCATTCTTTGTGTTAGCCTTTGTGAGGTGGGATGAGCACCACAAGGGAAGACCATGCCCAATCACAAAGGATCCCTGGGGTCACTATCACTCAAAACACTAGAGAGATTACAGGTTGGATCCCATGTGGCATTCTTTACAGCTATATGTCATCATGTTCTTCATCTGAGAATAAAAATCTTATCCAAAAAGAAATCCTTCTCCAGAAATGCTGAAAATTAATGACAGTATCAAGACCCTCTTTTATTGATTAATTCATTCAAACATCGTGTAACTACTATATTCAAGACAGAAAAACAATTAAGAAAAACACCAGTCCTTCTTGTAAAGCAGCTTATCTTCACCCAAAGAAGATTTTTTTCAAAAAGTAATCTGTATTTCCTGACATGGACAGATGTCCAAAGATGATATATACTTAAGAGAAAACAGCAAATTCTAAGACTACATGAATGTGTGCGTGTGTGTGTGTGTGTGTGTGTGTGTCCCACTTTTGCAAAACAAATACATTTAACATGTGTTATTATGCATTTGGAAAAAAGGCAGGGAAGATAAACACCAAATTACTCTCTGTAGAGAGAGTGATATATGTATATATGTATATATGCATGTGTGTATAATTTTTATAATAAAAAAAAGCAACTACCATCACTACCACTAAAGATACAGCTAAACAGACAAACAAAACACCTCCCCAAAGATGTTGTGATACCTTCAGGAAATTAAGACCTGTCAACCTAAACATAAGAGAATTTTGAGTCATAAAAAAAGGTATGATTATTTTAACCTTTTTATACAGTGTTTATCTCTGTTCCTTATTTTTTATGCTATTTTAAAAAGGTATAAATTAGCTCTGGCGTAGGAGATAACATTCAAATCACAATAATATTTCAATTAATACTGAAAGAAGCAAAGGATTTGAGAATGAAGCTTCTATCACAGTCTGATTTTGTAAGTTACAACGTTGGTCTAATCTAGATACAGTCAACTCTAAATTATCTGTGTAGTAAAAGAGAAGCACAGCTCTATAAATAATAGAAAATAATTGCATACCAAATTTGGATTTACATTTAAATAAATCTCATTCTGATAGTCTTAAAAATAATTATATAAAATAGTGAAACCATCCTTTAAAAGATCCTACTATCCAATTTTACTATCCTGTCCCCAATCAACAACTGTGTATCTTACTCCACGCTGGGAATGGACATCATTATCTTCTCAGACTCACACAAAAGATGAGATTAATGACAAGCAAGCTTCTCTTAAAACTTGCTGATTATGCCTAGGGCAGAGAATAATCCCAAATGGCTATAAATTTGCAGATACAGACATTTGAAAGCTGTGACACAAGGTTGATTTGTGAGATGAAGAACCTGAGCAAGTAAATACATTTGGGGAGAAGGAAAGGTGAGTAGGGGGTAAAAAAAGACACTCTGGATTGGGGGTGTCAAGTTGAGACATATCTGATGGAGAGGTGGGTAAGAACATAAGGTAGTGGTGGATGGAATGGAGATAAGGGATGGGCTAGTAGCAAAGGTACCAGTTTGCAGGAAGGAATTTGAGACTTCAATAGGTAGAGGGTAGGTTATGGCAGAGTCACCAAAGAGCCTGTCAATTCATATTTCAATGATTCAACTCATGACTGAAAGAATCAGTTCTTTGTTCAGCATTTTATGGGGGAAATTATGAGTTTTATATATATATATATTTTTTTTGTGTGTGTGTGTGTGTGTGAGGAGGATCAGCCCTGAGCTAACATCCATGCCAATCCTCCTCTTTTTGCTGAGGAAGATTGGCCCTGGGCTAACATCCGTGCCCATCTTCCTCTACTTTATGTGGGATGCCACCACAGCATGGCCTGACAAGTGGTCCGACAGTGCGTGCCCAGGATCCGAACCCAGGCTGCCAGCAGCGGAGCACCGCACTTAACTGCTACACCACGGGGCTGGCCCCATGAGTTATATTTTTTGCAAATACGGTAACTTGTAAAGTTCTCAAGACACACACTTCACAACTCTCATAGGTTGCCAGTTAGCCTAGTATGCAGTAGAAACTCAGTTGGAAGTGTTGGTCATGCAAAAGAATAAATAAATAAATGGTGTACATCTCTGTTTAGGAATAATTACTTTAAGCTTAAAAGAGATTGACTTCTTGTTTATGCCAAGTTTGAAAAAAGATTCATTTCAGCCCTAAGTGAACTTTTTAAAGTAAAAACAAACAAGACTTCACTAAAATGGAGTCTGACTTAAATGCTAGGTTTAATTAGCAACTGACCCCTAACCATCCAGCTCACCATAGCTATAAGGCAATGGGTAACCAAGTTTTCTTCAACCTACAACCTAACTAGCTCCTACCTGGCAGAAATAAATTTAGGATAGGTCTGCAGAAACTCTTGTAATCAGCTTTAGGAGAGGGTCAACTTTAATAGTACAGGTCAAAACTTTAACTTTTAGGAAAAAAACTCTATCAATCCTAATATATTGGGTCAATTTAAACACTATGATCAATAATTATAAATCTTAAGTTTAAAAGTTTACAAAAATTTGATAGCAGCTTTGATTGTAGTCATCTCAAAAAAGTAGTATCATTGATATCAACTGTCTCATTATACTCTTTGGCATTTGTCAATATTGGTGTACCTTTTTGATACTCTGATGAGATGATAAAAACCTGCTTAGACAGTCCTAGAAGCTATGGAATACAACCTACTTACTGTTTGTTATGCAGTACATTTCCAATGAGCATCCAAACACATCCCAATAATTCTAAAATCTTACTAGATGCAGTAGTAGGGGCTGTTCCACCTGCTCCAGGGAATTTTAATCCAAATCCCAAAGTCATACCACCAAGTGTTCCAGCCGAAGTTGTTGGGGCACCAACTGCAGAGAACAACACAAACTATTACCGTTTTAATGAAAAACAGTGAGGAATTTATATAGAGTCTTTTTAATCTGAAGAGTTCTTTAGAAACTTTTGGCTAAAATTCAAACAACTAGGGTCAATCCATTTATATGAAATGTCCAGAAAAGGCACATCTATGGAGACAGAAAATAGATTAGTAGTTGCCTGGGTCTGAGAGATTTTACTGGGATGATAGAAATGTTCTAAAACTGGATTATAGTGATAGTTACACAATTCAGTGAACTTATTAAAAATCACTGAATTGTAAAACTTAAGTTAATTTTATGATATGTAAGTTATACCTTATTAAAGTTAATTTAAAAAATACTGAGGTCAAGATTTCTTTTCATTTTGTAGGCAAAGACATCAAAGACAGGAAGGAAAAAAAGCCCGTCAAAGGTCAGAGGGTAAGCCTTTGATTGAAAATGGAATTCATTCAATAATTTTAACTCCCAACCTCAGACGTCATCATAGTCACAAAATCTATTGTAGTTGAGAAGGATATTGCTTACATATATCAAAAGGTTTCCAGAATCTCAGTTATGTCTCAAAATTGTAAGTCTGCTTGGCAGAAACTACAACTCAAGCGGTAATTAGTAATTTTAACTAATGTTTACCTATGCCAACTACACAAGAGGATAGGGATGGTAGGCCACTATTTTCATACTCGACTAGGCATCAGCAATTCCTGGCAAGTTTTATTGCCAGGAATGGTGACAATATTGCTATAACAGGGCTTTAGGGGTACCATATTACAGCTAGGATTACAATAACAAAGTCTAATGATGAACATCATGGCACTGTGAAGATGCCTCGAAAGCACAGTCAGCTCATATGGAACTGTAAGAAAGAATTGCCTAAGACATATACAGAATTCAATATTCTCAATATTTGCTCTTACTCTACTAATGGAAGATACATAGCAAAGAAGTTGGAGTTATAAGATACTCAATGTGTCACTTCTCAGCTCAAAGCATCTAGATGTTCCTCTTCAAGGGAAGAGGCCGTGAGGCATCACATAGTGTTAATCAAAACCCAAAACTACAGCTGGTCCTTTTGTTATGTAACACTTCTGATAGGTAAAATGTAAGGACCACAAATCTGGTCTATATAGAAGAATACACTATAGCAAGGCTCCAGCATTTATTTTCCATTTTACCCTATTCACATGGATAATAAAAAGTCTTCCCTTCAGACATACCTGGCAAAACTCCTACTCTTCCTACTCTGATTAGCTTCAAGAAGTTGTTTCAAAACATTACAATGTTAATGAATTATATGCTTAAAATTATCACTCTAAGCTGTAATAATCATGTTAATATAAAATCCACAACTAAAGCCATGACAATTAGGTTCTTAAGCAAAGCAACTACTGATATTAGCAGTTATAGATAGGTTCAAGCATAACGATAATTTATGAGATGCAGGAGATCCACAGCTTATAATGGCAAATTGAGTTAAGTGGCCTAATGCAAAATAATACCATTTTCTTTGCAACCAGTAACTTACATGAAAGCCCAGTGGCAGCAGTCAAGGTAGAAGCATTTGATATTGAGGAAAACAGCATGGTGTTTGAATTAACAGCGGCAGCAACAGTAGATACTGAAGCCAAACCTAAAAATAAAAGTAACAAGCAGAAAAATACGTCACTAAAAATAATTTTTTAAAAGTAAAACACCATTATAACAAGGTTCATTTATATGAAGAAATAAAAACAAAATAAGGAAAATCCAGTACCCTGAAATCTAGTAAATATGACATAGTAAAAGCCTAATTAAAAAATATATATACCCTATAAGAGGTTAATATCCAAAATATCTAAAGAACTCATACAACTCAACAAGAAAAAAGCAGACAACTGATTAAAAAATGGGCAGAGGGTCTGAACAGACGTTTTTCCAAAGAAGATATACAGATGGCCAACAGGCACATGAAAAGATGTTCAACATGACTAATTATTAGGGAAATGAAAATCAAAACCACAATGAGATATGACCTCATGCCTGTCAGAATGGCTATTATTAAAAAGACAAGAAATAACAAGTGTTGGAGAAGATGTGGAGAAAGGGGAACCCTTGTACGCTGCTGGTGGGAATGTAAATTGGTGCAGCCACTAGAGAAAACAGAATGGAGATTTCTCAAAAAATTAAAAATAGAACTACCATGTGATCCAGCTACTCCACTTCTGGGTATTTATCCAAAGAACATCAAAACATTAATTCAAAGAGATATATGCACCCCTATGTTCACTGCAGCATTATTCACAATAGCCAAGACTTGAAACAACCTAAGTACCCAACAGATGAATGGATAAGAAAGATGTGGTATATATATACATAATGGAATACTACTCAACCATAAAAAAGATGAAATGTTGCTATTTGTGACAACATGGAGGGACCTGGAGGGTGTTATGCTAAGCAAAATAAGTCAGACAAAGACAAATACCATATGATTTCACTCATATGTGGAAGATTAACAAACAAACACACACATAGATTCAGAGAACAGATTGGTCGTTACCAGAGGGGTAGGGGTGTGGGGGAAGGGCGGAAGGGGTAAGGGGCATGTTTGTATGGTGACGGTTGCCAACTAGACTTTTGGTGGTGAACACAATATAATATATACAGAAGTCAAATATAATGATGTACACCTGAAATTTACATAATGTTATAAACCAATGTTACCTCAATTAAAAAAATACTTCATCAGTACTGCTTAGTACAGCCAGCCTTCTAGCACCATCATAACAAAGAAATTCTACTTTACTAAAAAAGTAAACATAAGAGGGGTATCCACTTCCAGAATCGCAACATAGGAAGTCCTGGGAACTCATTCCCCAGTGAAACAACCACAAATGGTAAAAAATATGAAAAAGAAACATTTGAAATCTCTGTAAATTGTCCTAAAGATATACAACAAATGAAGAAACATTTATTCAAGAAAATCTGCTAAAACTCAGTAACATCAGTGCACGTCTGTGGCATTTGAACCACAATCCACTCTCTTCCTTCCCTCCATCTCCCTGGCTCACCTTGATGGAAAGCACACTCCAGGCAGGAGTGGCCAAGACTGGACTCCTTCTTCCTCCAGCTCCCAACCAAGGGATACAGTATCTCATTGGAAGGGCAAGCAGCCAGCATTTCTCATCACCTCCAACACAGAGTTAAAGGGTTGAAATTCCTGGCTAGTACAGCCAACAAGGGTTGAGGGGCTCCCTTCCTCTAGTCAACACCCACCCATAGGGCAGAGGCTCTATATCAGGCACAGCAGGCTGAGAATACTGGGGCCCCATCACCCTTGCCCTGATTGTCTTGCCTCAGCTCACTTATAGGGCTGAGGTTTCATGCCTGAAGAGCTAAGCAAAACCAGAGGCAACTGCCACTGCCCAGTGCCCAAAGCACTGGTTCAAAGATTTAACCCAGAAATAAAGGCAGCCCATAAGAACAGAGAGTTCCCAAGCTATCTCCAAATGAACTGAACTTTATTTGAAACAGAATGTGGGAAGTTCAAGCCAAAGGACTCTCGAAAAAATGGAGATTTTGGTGGTAAGCAATTAATAGGAGGCAAGTAGCTTCATGAGAGCAACGATTTAGGCTGTAGGCCAGCTAGTTTACCAGAGATAACCAGGGAAAGAGACAGTTGAAAAGAGCCCTTCTCCTGAGAGCAGAAGAATTAAGTACTCATACATACTACACCACAGATGAATCTTGAAAATATTATGCTAAATGAAAGAACCAGACACAAAAGGCCACATACTATATGATTCCATTTATATGAAAGGTCCAGAATAGGCAAATCCATAGACAGAAAGGTCCAGAATAGGCAAATCCATAGGCAGTAAATGGTTGCCAGGAGCTGGGAGGAGGGAGTAATGGGGAGTGATGCTAATGGGTACAAAGTTTCTTTCGGGGAAGATGAAAATGTTCTGGAATTACATAGTGGGGATGGTTGCACACTCTGTGAATATATTAAAAACCACTGAACTGTACACTTTAAAAGGGTAAATTTTAAGATATGTAAATTTTAAGATTTATGCTGTTATTAAAAAAAACACATGACCATCTCAATATAAGCAGAAAAAGCGTTTGAGAAAATCCAACACCCTTTCATAATGAAAACACTCAACAAACTAGGAAGAGAAGGGAACTTCCTCAACATGATAAAGGGCATTTATGAAAAACCCACAGCTAACATCATACTTAATGGTGAGACTGAATACTTGACCACTACCATCAAGAACAAAACAAAACTGCTTATACCACTTCAATTCAACAATACATTGTCCCAGTCAGGACAATTAGGCAAGAAAACAAAATAAATGGCATCTAGATGGAAAAGGAAGAATGAAACTACCTCTATTCATAGATGAATGATCATGAACAGAAAATTCTAAGGACTCCATAAAAAATCTATTAGAACAATAAACAAGTTCAGCAAAATTGCAGGATACAAGATAAATATATATAAATAAATTACAATTCTATATACTAGCAATGAACAATCCAAAAATGAAATTAGGAATATAATTCCATTTACAATTGCTCGAAAGAATAAAATAAGAACAAATCTAACAAAAGAAGTGCAAGATTTGTACCCAGAAAAATACAAAACATCACTGAAAGAAATTAAAGACATCCTAAATAAATGGAAAGACCTCATGTTCATGGATCAGAAGATTTAATATTGTTAAGATGGTGTAGTAGACAGAAAAATGGTCCCCAAAGACAGCCACATCCTAATACCCAGAGCCTGCAAACATATTACCTTACTTGACAAAAGGGACTTTACAGATGTGATTAAGTTTAAATATTTTGAGATAGGGAGGTTATCCTGGATTATCCAGGTATGCAAAATCTCATGACATGAATCCTTAGAAGTAGAGACCCTTTCCAGACTGTGTGGTCAGAGGGAGATGTGACTACAAAAGAATGGTCAGAAAGATGCAAAGTTGCTGATACAAATGGCCATCTACCACATGAAAACATACTCAACGCCATCAGTCATTAGGAAATTGCAAATCAAAACTATAATGAGATACCATTTCATACCAACTAGGATGGTTAGAATCAAAAATACAGATAATATCAAGTGCTGGTGAGGATGTGGAGAGATTAGAAACCTCATACAATGCTGACGGGAATGTAAAACGGTGTAGCCTCTTTGGAAAACTTCCTCAAAGTGTCAAACATAGAGTTACCATATGACTCAGTAATTCCAGTCCTAGGTATCTACACAGAGAAATAAAAACATATATTCACACAAAAACGTGTACATGAATGTTCAGAGCAGCATTATTCATAATAGACAAAGGTGGAAACAACCCAAATGAACACCAACTGATGAACGGATGAATAAAATGTGCTATAACCACACAATGGAATTTTATTAGGCCATCAGAAAGAAAAGAAGTACTGACACAGGCTAAAACATCAATGAGCCTTGAAAACATTACACTAAGTTTAAGAAGCTAATCACAAAAGACCACATATTATACGACTCCATTTATATGAAATGTCCAGAATAGGGAAATCCACAGAGACAGAAAGCAGATTAGTGGTTGCCAGTGTTGGGGCCCAGGGCGGACCACCCCAAGATATCCCACAATAGCATACTGATTATTTTGAATTAAAGTTACTTAAAAAGCAAAAAGGGCATTTTGACCCTCCTGTCTCTGCTCCCCCTGAAAGCAGGAAATAAGTCCCCCATGTGAAAGGTGCTCTCCCTGCATCCTTATCACCAGAGCTAGGGAATTCAGGGCCAAGAAGCCTGTATAAACAAACCTTGCTAATGTACTACCTGAAGCCTAAACTCTGCTTAAATTCCTCACTAATTATGTACCCTAAACCTAAGTTTCTTTGTCCTGTCAATTCTTCACAAATTTATTGTTTCTTTGTGTAAAAGATATATATACTGTCTACTGTGTTCACTCCCCGAGCATCATTTCTCTATGATCTCCAATATGTACGTATTAAACTGCGTTCTTCTCCTGTTAATCTGGTCTTGTGTCAATTTTACTATTAGTCCAGCCATAAGAACACAAGAAGGGAAGAAAGGGGATTTTCCCCACCCCGACACCAGGGACCCGGGGGGGTGGGGAGAATGGGTGGTGACTGCTAATGGGTACAGTTTTTTGGGGGAGTGATGAAAATGTTCCAAAATTGACACCGTAATGGCTGCACATCTCTATGACTATACTAAAAACCAATTAATTATACACTTTAAATGGGTAAATTATATGGTATTTGAATTATATAATTATAAAACTGAGAAAAAATAATAAATGGAAGTCTAGAATAAAGTTTCAGAAAACAAATTACCTGTCTCTTGCTTTAAAATTTAAAATAAAAACTATAAAAAAATAAAGCTAGAGAAATTAAGTACATAAAGAGACAAACAATATTAATTGGTTAATTGAAAACAAAATTCATCTTTTAGTACTCACTGTAGTTCACTGTACATGGCACATGATAGCAAGAGCTCAATAAATGTTTCTGCTGAATTGAACCAACTTTTTCCAGACTGCAACACATAATTACAGATAGCCTATTTCCTCTTCAAAAGGAAAAAGTGCTTAATAAGTAACTGCATTTAAATCTATTGCCACCTGCATC